TTACACATACATAACATCTATAGACACTGCGTACGGCAATTGTTATCAAGTACAGTTCGCGTTACACTAACCCAATGTCCCAGGAATGGTGTATGGTATGAGTACATAACATGATACTACAGTTATTGGATAATATTATGTATAATAATAAATATATTTATTACAAATTGCTGTATCTTGAGCGTAGTTTTCAAAACCGTCAAGATGCCGACAACCATTTCGCACATCAATAAAAGCAAATCGTACGATTGGTTCGAATGTTACAGCTTTTACCGTTATGGGAAGAAAACCTAAAACTTGCGGGTTACCTCAATTTATACATCGAACATGTCAATCTACAAATTTAGATAAATGCAATATATCGCGCGATTCATTCGATTCGATAATAATAGTAATCCTAATGTCAAGTGAATATTTATGACATCATGTCTGATACCATTAATCGATTTCATTTATGATTGCAAAGCAACTTTTCGAAACCTTTCTAAAATAATAACAAGAATGAGCGTGAATCCAATTCAAATTACATAAAATGTATTTGCTGACACGATACTAACTCAACATGGCCAAACCTAATTTCTATAGACTTCAGTCGGGGAATCCACACAGATCGGGACCACGTACAGAATATGCATTCCATAGTGCGACGTTGAGACCGAATAAATGCAGATGTAATTGGATACTTGTTTGCAAAATATTGGTAAGGGGGGGGGCCTACTCAAATCGTTGACAAATAAATCGCGTCGACTGTCAATCTTTTATTTTTGCATAGTGAAACGACCCAAAGATAAGCATCTATCTAATAAAAGAATTAATAATTGTCGAATTGTTTTCTTATATGAATGTCTGCAAACATTTACAATAATACATAATGCATATCTCTTTGCGTTATACAGATATTGTTGTAAACAATGGCGGTCTTTGTTCGCTGCATCGACGAATATTCTTTCCCGAGCTTTTTTTACACTAATCTAATATATTTACTAAATATAGTCATTTGCCATATGATTGTTTTATTAATAACTAGACCATATTGTGACATATATATTCATATCCGTACATCAGTGTAACATCGAATAGAGAATCCTTACTTTTGTGAGATTTTACTCGAAGAAATCGCATTCATACTTTTTTTTTTTTGGGAAATTCTTATGTTGCAGGGAGTATAAAATCTTACGTAATGCATATATTTTTAAAGTGAAACTAACTTTATCTCGGATTTCCCCATGGCACATCACTTTTATCGACAAACTCAAAATCGCTCAAGACCGCATCAGGAAATGTGTGAGTAGTTCTTCTCTCCCTTCTTGTACCACCCAATTCCATCCATCCATAGCTAATTCTTTCATGAGGAGGAGGAAGAGCAAACGAATTGCTCAAGAGATTTTGGTTGGACAAGAACTGTACAACATCGAATGGTGGATAGTCTGTAGACCTAGACTGACTTGACGACGGATATTGGGCATTTAAAGCATGCAGAGCACGTGCGCTTGGTGGAGAGTACATCACATGTCGAATAGAATGAACAGAATTCGTAATCTCTGTTGACGATGCTAAGGGGCCCGATGATGTATCATGGGGCATATTACTTGCGACCGGAGTGAGAGTCCGTTGGGGAGCTGATAACGAAGAGCGAATACGATTATGATATAATCTACGAACGTCCCTAGCAAGTAGCTTAAATGCAGCTTTAACCTCTTTGGTCTCATTCTTCCACGATTCAGAGACCCATCTACTGACGTCGATCATCTTATATCGATGCTCGTTCTCGGTCAGCTGCTGAACGTATACGGTCCGATATATAATGAATGCGTTGGGCGTTTTGCATCCAATCAACTTCTTGGGTAAGAAATTTTCTGCGCAAAGCGTCTGCGGCGAAGGAATGGTTATATCGGGAGGTGACGATGGCACAACACATTGAGTTGACTTTTCTAGTGATTTGAGTATAGATGCCTCATCCAAGATGACATATTTCTGACCAGCAAAATTATGGTGAGCAGATATGGATTGCGGCGTTGAAAAAGTAGAGTATGAAGGAAAGGCTGGTGTTGACATTGTTTTTCGAATTACGCGTTTGTGTGTTGAGCAAAGGAAAGGATAAATGCGAAAGATACTCGTCTATATAGTTTTCCCCTGTGCCCTGCTCGCTGCACTTCTATATATATTATTTACCGACGCTTTCATTATCTAGTCAGTTAAAGTAGTTATCTCAGCGATCTTTAGAAGAACGCTTCTCATGCCGTTAAAGTGGTTAAACAAGTGTGTGGACATGTTTTCACGAAGTTTATCTCAATCTTATCGTAGACGCATTCGGCACTCATACCCCTCGTACTCTTTCTACTTCTTTCCTATTGCCGTCAAAGTAATGTCCTGAGAAGCTTCATAGCGTTAACCTTTTGTTGATGGAAGAGTGGCTTTGATGACATCATACCGATATGGTTTGAGTTATTTCTCAGCGAAGATTTATTTGGGTGGGGGTACTTTTTTTTTTTTTTTTTGACTCTTCCAGTAGACTGTTAAATAAAATGTCCGCGGTAATAGTTTTTTTTTCTCTCGTGAAAATAGTATGTCATATCTTGACGTGTGAATTATCATTATTCACCAGGTATACGAATAATTAGTGTACATCAGTTATTATACGCCTGGTACGCTACTGGATTAAAACGACATAACTAACATTGGTGGTGGTTGTGTCAAGTTATTACGTTCAAAAAATCTAAACAGAGACCTATATATTGACTAATCATAAGAATGTAAAGATTGTCAGATGCAACGTCGGAATCTTAGAACAAGGCTTTTTACAAGGATTTTCGGAATGATCCATACGCCAGGTTCGGAACCAAAATTTGTTGGCTCGAATGCAAAATAAACTATTTGAAATAACGATAAATTCAAATTAACTATTATGACCAACAAAGCACAGTCTTAGAGGACGGCTTATATAGAAATTTAACTAACGCTTGATCTTCGTTACATTCAAGCAATAGGTAAGCCGCAGGGATTGCTCGATGATTACATAGCTTAACGTCCTCAGAGTATAGTAAGAATAGCAGACGAGCAATCTAATTACTAATTATTTGTATAAGCAGTCACATATCATAGCATTTCCCTTTCTATTTGGAATGCGCGTAAAGCTAGTACGACTTATCATTTTTGTATTGTTCATAAAGTGGTTTCCCTTACCAGGATAGCCAAGACCAACAATTAATTTCATGTTTAATTTTTTTTGCAAAATCTTGATGATAAAGTTTAACGCACCGAAAATGTTTGATTATTCTTATTTATGTGTGTTCAACTCTTTCTGTCAATATAAATATCAAATATTTCATTTATGATTATGAAAGCAACAACGGAAGAAGATAGAATGACATCATAATCATTTCTATGTCAAATATACCGCTTGTGGTAATCATGCCTTTATATTTTTAAAGGTAAAAAAAAAGTTTTTCTTCAAAAACTTGTAGTATCTAATATAGCCACATAAAGTTAACAGTCCGCTCTTGTTGGTCACAGGTTCCGGACATTATTCTTCAATGACATTAAACTAGAGAATTATATGCGAAAATAGACTTGTCGGAAGACCAAAAGGAATCAAACGTATCGGACAATAAAATTATATTCTCCGGATTTGCAAGTGTAGTTCATTAATTAATCCATTAACCTTTATTACTTGTCACTTGTCACTTGTCACTCATCTTGTACCTATATCCAACCCAATCGTCTCGTTCTCTCGCCTTGTTCTTCCTCAACCATTTGTATTTCTTCCCGGAATAGCTCTCTCCATCTTTCGTCCGTGACCATTGATCGTTTTATATCACGCTCTTGTTTTCAGATCGGTTACTTTTCTCGATTAGTCTTGTCGCACTTGTCATGTGATGGTTAACTTTACATATTGCATGCGCAAACGTGTTTTGCTATGTGTGACGAAACGCAAGTGACCACTTTTCTAAATAAATCCATTACCGAGGGATCCTTTGTATCAGATTGATACCCAATAAAGGCAACAAGCTCTTTAAGTTCATGACGATCAAACTATCGGCCCTACTTGTATTAGACTCAATCGCCATAATTGGTAATCTTTACACATATTTATCGATGTTCTATCCTCTCCGATCCATCCTTCGAATATTCATATTATGTTTTTTACAACTCCGTTTTTTTTACCTTTCGGATATTAGGAGTGTATTGCCAGTTTCATATTTGGTTTATTGAAACAATGGTTGTCTTGGCAACGAATCCGCGAGAACCCCGGCAATTATTCAAAAAATAATATTGTCTTAATATAGCAATGAAGGCATTATCTAAAGGTTTGAAGGTTTGAATGAATGCGCAAAAACGTAAAATTCGGTAAGAGTTTGTGACCCAAAGTCGGACATTAATCTCCGTCGGCCTTCTAAGAACGGTTTGTCATGTAAATCAAAAAGTTTGAGTTTATGTGCAGAACCATACTTTATTCCATTGAAATACAATTGTGCGACCTTGGCAAGTAGTCTATATTGCAATATCCGCTCAATAATGACCACTTAAAATTACACAAATGTGTACCTTATTTTTCAGTCAAACTATATTGATTTCTTCATACCATCAGAATTAGTCATTTCCTAATATTGGTAAACTTGTGTCCTAACGTAAAACGATGTCTTGAGCCATCTTTAGAAATGTTGTGTGTTTATTGACAAAACAGGGCAGAAAATCTATATTTATGTTTATTTGAACTAACAAATCGCAACCAATCAACAGTGACACTGTGAAACTACACATGCACGTGATTTTAGAGTTAGTTTTCACTGTTATGCGCTTGGTTACACACCATTGTTGGCCCGCAGGACGAATATATAAAATAGATCTCTGCCAGCAGAATATTTTATTATCACTGCTCGTCCTGCTGAGCCAAAACACCCTCAATACGAACAAGCGTTTGACAAGCAGTTATTTATACAAAAGGAATACGTTTTTCGCAAAGCGTCTTTACCGTTAAACTATCCTCGCTCAGCCGTAACATGTCAACACCGTCCTCCTACTCCACAGTTGGAGCCTCTCTCGCTCAGAGTCCGTTTAATCATAGCTCACGATCGCCTCCAAGCTTATCTTTTCCGCCCAAAATAACAGTCCCATTACCATCTAACCTCAATCCGAAGGATTATTTACCAAAGAAAATTGCCGGCAGCAAGTCTTGTAATGCATTCATGATATACAGAAAGGTGTTTGTGAACGAGTTGATTGCAAGGCAACTTCGTTTCAAAATGGTCGAGGTATCACGTTGGGTCAGTGCTCAGTGGAAGAAAGAGGATGAAGATGTTAAAAATGCGTATCGTCAGTTTGCCAGGAAAGTAGACAAAATGTATCGAGAAAAATCGGAAGCCATTCCAAAACGATTTGTTTTACCTGTTAGATACAATGCTGCTCCCTATCCTTCGATATCGCACAATCTTTTTGTTCCAAATAATCATGCCGGACTCGCTCCTTACATGGCAACAACAACAACGGGGGAAAATATTCAGCAGCATTATCCTATAGGCGCAAATCCACTAAATAATAGCTCGTTATTACCGTTTTTTGGACTTCATACCATGGGCCCAACATATGGAGGTGTTGCTTCTTATTCTGAAGACTTACGAACAAATGCTTTTTGGCTTAGTGAGGAAATTACCTCGGCAGATTTCGTTTCTCTGTCGCAAAATAATTGTACTTCTTTATCATCCAGCTACGTGAACAGCGTGGGTATGAACTCAAGTGAAGGGCCGATACAACCGAGTCAATTTCAATTTGATCAAAAAAGTTTTTAAATGACTTTCCATAATGATGTACTGTAAGATTGTATAGGATAATTTACTTTCACTTTGGGAGATAATTGTTAACTATGTTATTACTATAGAAGTATGTAATATAATAAATAAGTATTACGCATTCAAATTTTGTGCCGTGTTCTAGAATTGTCTTGAACAAATACAACGTGTTTTCCTACTTTCGGCGTATTAATCAATAACCAATATTAAAATATCTGATTGCTAAGGGAAAAAAAAAACTAACTTTTTTTAGGTTAGCAAGGTACCACAGTATTACCTACCGAGTCCTTTATCGGAATCGGTTGCCTAATTGGTTCACCGTCAGGGATGAGTTGTATTAATAATATTATTTGTTTATATGCCACAAAAGTTCAAACTAGGAGTATAACATATTATGTCTTCGTCACCATCTTCGTCACCATGTCTTCCGTCGCCATGTCTTCGTCGCCATCAACGACTGCATGCAGAACAAGTCACGGCTTTGCTAATATCTGCTTATGTAGATCAAGGATCTTGAAAAATATGAGCACACGGGTATTTTTGCAAAACACATTATGCAGTCAATAGAACTCAATAGAACGCGTGTCGAATACGACAGACGTACGCTAGATAAACATCAACGCCCTCATCATAAATGATATTATCGAACGAATCAGGAATAACAAACGACAGAAATACACAATCAATCCATTACTTAATGTAGACGAAGACTGTCGGCTGTAACCGTTTCCGTACCGCGTTGAAATTTTACATTGTCAATAAATCTGTTAGCGGCAAAAGTTAAACAAAGCCCCCCCCTTAAATGTCCTATGCCATTTGACTCTCACTGTATCAAGAACGTCTGGCGTTTATTTGCGCTTTCCCATGCACTATTCGTCACTATGATAACAATCGTTTTACGCGAACATAACTACCCCCAAATACGCTATTCGACTTTCACTGTATCAAGAACGTTTGTTGGTTTATTTGCACTTTCCCATGCATTATTCATCACCATGACATTTTACGCGAGAGCATAACTGTCCCAAATATCCTATGCCATTTGATCAAGAACGCTGTCGGTTTACTATTAATATTGTGTAAACAAATAGTTGTAAGACGTTTCAAATGCGATCCCCTTTACGAAAACTACGTTAATTGCTATTCTTAAATGCTCGACTGTTCGTGTTTCAACAGTCAAAGTCTGGGTTTGGAAGGGGACGCAGTTAACACGGGTCATTTGCCTCAGATGCAAACCCTCTAATTACAAAATAAGACTTTGATAAATAAAACTGAAGCCGTTGAAGCTTCCTATTCGCTCCCCATCTCATAAAAAAACAACAGTTTTGACTAATACAAGCTTACAGTAAAAGTTGTATTTTGCTAAGACATTTTCCCATTCATCTGACACACTGTAAAGTTCCCCTGATCACTTCCCTTCCTATCACGAGCCATGCACCCAACGTTAGCAGATAACCTGGGGTATTACCGCCCTGACTTTCCAATAGTTCCGAATTGTCCAAACAAATTGTATTGCTAACCATTCTTGGCCAAATTCTTCTTAGTTCCTAAATTCTGGCGTAATTTCTGCGTAGCGACGACACTGCTTTTTCGAACATCGTCTATATGAGAATCAAGACAATAACTCTCGTCATCCTTTCTCAGATCCTTTCAACAATGTTCCACTGCTCCCTCGAAATGACGTTTTGGCATCAAATGTGACAAGTGTGTACTGTGTACTATGCGACACAGTTTTAACTCTATAACACAGAGGTTTGAAGTAACATGTAGTCAACGGAACATTGATACAGAGGTCGAGCGAGGTGGTAGTGCACTACATTCCTGTCCAGCTCTCATAATTCAGTTCTGCATGCGAAGCGGGTCTAGGTAAGAGAGGACGCAATTGCCTTTCGTCCAAGAATGCTCGCGGTCGTTCCGTTTTTCGTGCGACAGCTGGGTAACTAAATTGCTGGACCATACTTGACTCGAGTAAGAAAAGACACAGCTGGAAAGCATAATTCGGATCTTTAAAAGGGAATTAAGCGTCTATTGGTGCGATAGTAGGCATGCTTTCTTTCCGTCTGCTAGACGTGTATGTTCCAGGAAGCCCTGATTAGTGAGTTTGTTGAGCCGAACCGCAGACTGATAGTGATAATAACTGATGGGGGATATCGTAACGTTACATCTGTATTTACTAATAGCCGAAAAATGCACAGTCATGCGCCTTGCTGTTGTCACACGTGAGGTTCATGTATGACCATCCGAGTCCTAAAAGTTAAGATTCGAAATATAGATTAAAGATTTCACTTACTCTTGAAGCTAATTACGCAGCATCTAATCTGCCGGAGTTCTGGTTAACAAGATAGCATTTATTACATATACGTGTATTTATTATCGATATGATCAAATACAGTAGCCTTAGATGTCTTTGCTTACTCTAGTATGGAGAAGAAGAATAATTTAATTGCTGCCGTGCGCCAGCTACTTTTTCTGTTGTAAGTGTTGACAAACGTGTACTCTGCTGCATACATGAAGTAAATAATTTTCCCGTTGATTCCGATCTTAACGGCCAAGCGATTGTTTATTCCGATTAGTTCTATGTTATAAATAATGTATTCCGAGATAACAACGATTTTAAATTGTCACTATCATACTAATACTATTATGGTATATAAACCCGTTATTATTATATTTCGAACTCTCCGAATCTTCTGCGCACCGTTGCATTCAGCGTGTTTTTATCTTGTTCCGCAGTTGTAAACACTGACATACTTGTAATCATCTTCTAGATGTTGCGGGCCTTTCCGCCCTTTTTCCCCCAATGTTCTACCCACTAAAATAGGGAATGAAAATGCCAACCAGATCTGGTATAACCAACAATCAAAAATCTAATAATAATTTCCTTCAAAGGTATGCACATCAGGTTGCCTATTTCGTCTACGACAAACGCCATAAGATTAAAAAAAAATTTTTTTTTTTTGTTGCGACTTGTATTAAGAATATCACCCATTACTAAATATAATAAACAAACTCATGTAGAATTTATTGATCCACACCACCTTTGTCGTCCTATAAACGGGTGTCAGAACATGCGTGGTGATATCAGATATGCATTTTCATGTGATAGTTTGAATGTGTGTACAGATCATGTTGAGGTATGTCGGAGTTCGTTTTTGCGAGAACGAACGGTTCACTGGGCTTTCCATATTCGGATGTAATTATTAATTCTTCTGCCATGACGGAAGTTCATAGGTTAATATCTAGATGGGGTAAACATAATGCAAGTCAGCACAACCATCTGCTTTTACACTTTCTGATATGGGATACAAATAATCGAGCAAATTACTCGCATGGTAAATTAGAGAAGACATTATCCACCTGCGCATGATCAAATAACGTCATTTACTGCCTGTTTACAAACACAAGAATTTAGTACCAAGTACATAATTGATAGTAAAGTTGCAGCTGTATGTGTGACGAAACCCCGATTCGGGTTCAGCATAATAGGAACATTCAATTTGAATTGTGTGTGACGAATACATGCCGCAATCTCTCAAAATGGAAACCGAAAAAATTGAGCTAAGAAAATTAACCGATGACGTGATAATATACAATCTAGTGGAATACAGCGAGATTTGAAAGTAAACGTTAGTTATATCTTGAGAATCTGCAATATGTCATAATAATAATGAGCCTTGATTACCTTTTGGAATTGTCTAGTTAAAAATAATTTGAAAATTAATTGCGATTAAAAAATAGATACCTTATTTTTAGCGGAATCACCGGGTTGTGGAATCGTTAATGGAGCCTTCTTGATAACGTTATTTTGGTGTAAAATAAATAATTCGCAGCAATATAGCATAAAAGAGGGCATATAAACGCAATGCTATCAATTTCTTTTTGAACGCGTACCGCTGTTTAGAAAAATAACAGCCTGGCCTGCCTGGATACTTTTGTATGTCATCCGGCAATCCTGATTTCTGCAATCAATGTAAAGTCGTATTCAATTTAGCTAAAGTTTAATAAATACCCGCTTTAACGCAAGAAACAGTACTTTATTTCGTACAATAAAGCATTATCGCATAATTGACGTAAAAATTAGCATACGGCTGTATTGTATTGATGATTGTTTTGCGAATAGTGTATTTAAATGAGCACGCATACCTGCTATTAATAACATGATGAAAGTTCATACTCAGAGCGAATTAGAAGGAAGGAAGAGTCGAGTTGGCTTTTTTGTAAAACTACATGATCAGATATTTAACATTGTTCAGTATCGTAGATGTTCACGCTAATAAACATTTCAGATGCTTCACTCGATCTGTAAAAACTATCGCAATACTTACATAGATATTATATACATATCGTTTTATTACTGCTTTCGTTTATATCAGCAATTGTTGTCAAGATACTAATCTTCGGGATATGTCAGTCAAGATTTAATGAAGCATTCATAGTATACGCGATTAGAAGGAAAACAGTGTCGATCATATACTTCGCCCGAGATCAAGTTGAGAACTCTTTTGTTAAAGGTTTCGCTTCATCAACTAACCCAAAAGTATGCTCGATGTATCTGTTAATATCAGAGACTCAAGTCAGCGGTATAGTGAAGCAATAGATAAAAAAAAAGTGATAGTTATCCAGACCGTGCGTAGTTCTTACTTATGTCAACCTTCCAGGTAAGCAAATGGATTATTACAACTTTGCAAATACAGTGCGCGACCACCACTACCACCACTACCACCATTACCACCATTACCCCACTACCACCACTACCACCACCACCGCTACTATACTGCTATTCGTTCAACAATGGTCATTAATACTCAAGTCCAGGTGTCACTAATAAAGGATAAGGACTCTTTGATGCCAAGGACATGCTAATTGCATTTATTATCTATCACCCTTCTTAACCAATAGTCAAGGTAGCTACTCAACGTTTAAAAGCAAACAAATATGCACTGCTCGGCTGTAATTCGGTTGTGTTGCTTGTTTGCTTCCGAAAAGCACGGCATTTATTCGTATATTGCACTATGACATTTGCTGTATCTGTGGTCGTAATGGATACATATAATGACTAACCTTTGCAGACAATGATTAACCCCTTAATATTTTCTACTCGGTTATTATTACAATGGCTATTAACACTCTGCAGAAAAAATTTTATGCAAACAATCCCGATTTTACTGTTTATCAAAAAATGCAAATAATCGAAAGAACAAAGATGACTAAACAATTAATCATCTGCATTCACGTATCTCTAACGAATAAACGCGCTTGTTTACTACATCCTATGCACTGTGTGACTGCTATTGCCTGTTATTCCTGATGATATAACAGGTTTTTCGATAGATTGGCAGATTATTAATTGACAGAATAAAGATTTAATTATGCCAAAGAAATGCTTTGTAATATGGTACGCTACAACTATTCATGCTGATCTCAATAATCATAATACGAATCTGTCGAACGGTTTAAGATGTATGCGCTTATCAATCATGTTGATTATTAAAATAACTGGTTGTGTATATTTAAAATAGTAATAATAGTAACGAAAATGGTATAATTCGATTGAGCTCTTGGATTGTTGAACGCCGACTGGCCTGGACTGATCAAGTCAGAACGAAACATCTGTGACTGTTGTTGTTTCGATTTTTGAATAAAGGGTTTGGTTATGCAGTATTAAAATGGGTGTCATTTTCTATTATTGTTCTTGTCAGCAGACAAGGACTGCTTTTCTAGTCCTGGCTGGCGTCAAGGCGACTGTTTTTAGGTGTTGGGTTTTGATTGGTCAAGAGAATGAATTGTACTACAATGTAGAAATCTTATCTTTTTTTTTTAGCAAGTTAAGCGAGAGTGGGGGGTCGGGGTCAGATATCTTTATGTTATATATTTCATGTACGATTGTATATCATCTTTTTAAAGTTTAATATATTTAATAAATTGTGGACTTGTACCTGCAGTCTCGTAATAACAAAACATATCAGGAAAACTAATGACAAAATTCGTCTTTGGGACGAGGAATTACAATGTCTAAATAGGAATGTCCTTGTCCTCAATCCGAAACGTTTATGGAAAGTAATTTGCTCCCCCTAAGGAGCATCTGCCGCAGTTATGACAACTAAGTTGAGATTTCAAGACTTTAATTTATATGCTTCTGCTATTGGTCAATTGAAGCTTCTATTGACCGCAGCAAATCCCTTTTTTTAATCAAACGCCAGGGACCAAATTTGTGACGGCGTCATCTCTCTGCGCACTGTGGGTATTAATCTAACCGGTCATTACAAAGTCCTCCGTCGAGCGATTTTGTTCTTTCTAGGGTTACTTGGACAGTCGCAACGCGTGTCTGAAGATAATGGCATAACAACCAAATTAGGACATAAAAACGTATAGTAAACATCCATACTTTACTTCAAATACTACGGTCGCAGTAAATGACGATTTGATGCAATAGTCGATGACAAGCAACGTAATGATTACGACGATAGGTAACATAATGATTACGGTGACAAGTAACGTAATGTTACGATTGTTATCCTTTGACTGCCATATACCGTGTTTCGGAAATAGCAAATGAGACCATACTACAAGTAACCGTCCCAAGACGTTGAACGGAGCATTTACTCCGTTTTTTGCAAATTACACAAATTACATGTCTTTACGTTTTGCAGAAACAAACATTTTTGCCCAGTTAAAGTAGCCCAACTTTATTATTAACGTATAAGAAAAGCTAAATATAGAAGCTTTCATTACACATTATACTAACGAACAATCTCGGCCTTTCTGTATCATTATTTCCTACTGCTTGTTTTGTTTTTAATGCAATTATTGACTGTATTGTTGTCCAACTCAAGTAACCATAGTGTTGCCAGCTCGCGGGCAAGTAACGTTACGCCAATGCATCGAAAACCAGTTAACGCAGAAGGAAGATCAGAAAATCGTACGACGCTGTATCATATTTAAGCCAGCTCAGAACCCGACAAGATTGTGCAGAACAATGTCGTATTCCACTATAATTCCCATCGATGAGCGAACGTCGAAACCCTCCTGCACTCAATCCTTCCCACCGGTGCAGAACATCAAACTTCCGTCTCCGTCGGATCTTCCAGTCGAATCGTTTCTCCCCAAGAAAAGGGGCCGGTCAAGAACGTCAAACGCATTCATGATTTACCGAAAACTTTATTTCAAAGCGCTAGCCGAACGAGGATGCAAGTCCAAAATGATCGACGTATCACGATGGGCATCCGCTGCTTGGGCCAAAGAACGTGTAGAGGTCAAAATGGAATTCAACCAGTTTGCAAATAGGCTCGAAAATCTCTACCATGAAAGGCTTCGGAATGCTGAACTGTCATCCGCGGAAGAAGAATTGGCGGCTTGCAACAAGACCAGCGATAACTCCTCGCAAGAAAGTATTGTTGATTCTTCATTGGGCCGTGCAAGTAACGGCACCATTGACGCAGTTACAACTACACCCGGATACATTATCTCTGAAAATGATTATTCTACCGTTTATTCAAATGCAATTATCGTTAATACCGATGCTAATAATACGCAGCCTGGCCATTATCCATGGTTTGCATATCCTTATGTGGTCTCTAGCGATGGCCAATACTACTCAACTTTTCAGAATGACCCGTTTGGGAGCCCGTTAGCTCGTTACGACGATAATACGTTTTTTCTCCCATTAGAAGGAGAAGACTTGCGTGAAAATGGTTATAGTAATAATGGTATCAGTTATTAAGCAGGATGGAGAGAGAGAGAGATCAAAAAGAATAATAATAGTTATATGAAAATGTCGGACTTATTGTTTCGTTTGTTTGTTTTTTACATTATATGAAAATATACACACACACATTATCATTCGACTTTACATGCATATATATTTTTTATGTTTATATTGTTAAGATAATACAAAAAGTCAACAATGTTTAGATTATCATATAAGCGTTTTCGGTACTTTACTCCGGTGTTAAAGTTTCTATGAGACATTGTTTATGATAAGATATTATCCATAAGACCGCGCTTTGGCCTAACTATGCTATAGAGTACTACCGTTCATAAATAAATAAAGTTGTGTCGCAGCAGCTGTCTGAATGGTTACTAAAATGGACACGTAGGTTTGTTCAGTGGTACAATTCTGTATATATGTGAAAATAATAGTCAATTGATATATGTAAACTTTGCTTTAAAAGTACTAATTAAATCTCCAACAGCAAAAAAAAAAAAAAAAAAACTCCCCCAAAAAACCTTTTATATTTAGTTTTGATTGGATAAAGTTTTACTTGAGTAACTATTTTCAGAACGTAATTATTTCTTGACGTTATATTTTGCAAACGTTACTTGTTTGTTCCATCATACGCGTGCCCCGAACATTATTAAGCTGTCGATCTCTCTGTTCTTTATGTCCGAAATTTGACAAGATAAGGTTATGTAGACGTTTCAATTATAGGAAATGGGTCGGGTTCCAGAACGTGTAACGTATGTTGATATATTTTGACAAAAGTTCATTGTCCTAATTATACTTGTCGGTTAAACGTTTGTCAAAAAGCAAAGAAAAACTAATTATCGAGTTTGAAACAAGTATTTGAACGAATCACGGTCAACGAAGCAAAGTCAACAGTTACTTTAAACAAATACTGTGAACGGCTAAATAGAACGTCTATTCCAAATACAACTGTTCTGTAACAATGGGCTGATAAATACTTCGGTGTCGGAGATATGAAAGCTTTCACATAACCTTACCCGTCTGTTTGTACATATCAATAACCAAGGTAACCAGTCACGCTAGCCCGACCATGTCACTGTCAAAGGCGTTGTACGACACCCTATTACTATTGCAAAATGAATTGGTTTTGTACGTCGTGATCTAGATAACACAATCTCATGTGATTAGGCGCAGATTCCGATATTTCATGGGTATCCAATGTAAAGTTGGAGCTGTTCCCCATTTGTTTGGCCACAAGGGCCTCATTTTGAAAATCTATTGTGTCTGTCATACATGGCCGTTGCATAAACAATATGTAACTTGACATCATTTTCTTCACCCTTATTCTCCAATAATATCCTCTGGCCGCAATTTTTTCTATTACTATAAATAGCGTACAGGTGAGAAGTACACCCCATTTAATCTCCAGTGCATACGCTTATCCTTTGCTGGAATTTCGGACTTGCTACTTAATTGTTTCATTTGCTATGTATAGTTATATAAACCTATAGGTTTGAATGAGCCCAGCAGAATCTTAATACGTTACTATTTCAGACAGGGGAACATCTGTTGCCTGCTACACCAATTACTGACTGTGACACCGGCATATACTAGTCGATTCGAACAATACACTAAATATCATTTTAGCTGTCAGATTAAATGTTTCATTTTTCCCCGTTTCGTAATGCATCACCAATTATGATTTCGGCCTGTATCAAATGAACACAAGGAATCATCCTGATGGTCGCGATCAGAAACAACTTCGTTTTTACAAGATCAACAAAGGAACATTATTTCACTATTTTCGAACAAACAAACAAACAAACAAATGGCATTCAATTATTTCTCAAAACTTATTGGAGTATCAGCACCCAAATCTTATATTACCAAATGGAAAGGTTTACATTCATACGAAGAACGTTTGATTACATAGATTGCCATTAGTTTAATTTTTTGTCCTTTTTTTGCCTTTAATAATTCTGTTGAGCTTAAAGAAGAAAAAAAAAATCATAGATGGTGTCTGTCATATCTCTATAGTTAGGACGTTCCACAATCTATCGCATATATTACACAAAGAATAGTCGGTGTAGTTCGTCTTGATAAATCAAAAGGGGGGGGGGAGAGGAAATAAGTTACTAGAAAACAATACGGAAAACTAAAATACTAGATAAATTTGTAATTAAGAAATTAGTAATTATAAGGAATCTCACTCCATCCACAGCCTTGCGTCATCCCAAAGTCAATCAATACCCCGAATGGGAAAGTAAAACTCTGATTAACTGATGACTCAGATAACTGTGCCCCTTGAGCAGCATATGGGTCAAGAGCATAAGTGTGCGGAATAGCCATAACCGACGGATCATACATCGTCGTCGTCATCAATCTAGCTGAATTGTCTGCTGTCATCATAATACATGGTGGTCCTCCAACCGAAAGTCCAATCTGATTTTGCATCGATGGCACTATGTTCGATGTTTGCGCTAAAGGAGTGGAAATCGGCGAATGCGAGGGTGTCACCGTATTGGAAGAATTGCACGAAGGTGCGTTGTGTGCAAGTGTGGTTGTTGTGGGTTTTATGGATGACGAGGGAGCAGTATGATTCACACGGGATGTGGCGTGCAGTGGGTTGTAACGTACATTCTTTTTCGTGTGGTTTCGTTGCCAGTCGGAATTGGTTGAGCTGGACATTGAGAGCTGTAGATGAATTTTCTCAACCTCGCGCGCAATTTCTTCATAGTAGCGAACTACGTATTCAGGTTCTTCTTTCCAACTATTTTGATAATACAAAGAAACATGAAATGTTAATAGATGAACAAATAAATAAATAAATAAAATGATTGCATTGCATTGCATTGCGCAAGTCATTTATCTCGGCTATACATAAATGATGCAATACCTGTTTGCTGCGATGCTCGATACTTTTCTCATTGAAAGTTTATAGCCAAGTGCTTTTAACTCTTTAGCATATTCATTACGATAGATCAAAAACTTGTTTGTACATCTTGTAAGAAGTTCCCCATTTTTATCCGTTCGTATCAAATCAGTAGGATTAACATTTGGCGGGAAAGGCACTTTGATTACAGGGTTAAAATCAGGGACGATGTGCTGAATCGGCTGTTCTGGAGATTTTGAAATGAACGACTCGTGAATAAATACTAATTCTTGCTGTGCCGCAATTTTATTATTTTCTGATGTGCCTTCCATTACTGTTTGTCGAGGGGAAATTGCTGTCATTCTGTAGTAATTGCTTGATTACGTGATTACTATATGGTTGTTTGCCGAACGAAGGTTTCGAAATATTTTTTGACGGAGAATTATTTACAGCAGCAAAAGAACGAGATATTTAAGCGTTACGGGATCAAGATCGTCAAAAACGAACTTATAGTCTACAATTCGAAGCCTGTTTGTCTGGGTGAATGATCAATAATTCCGCAAACACGACATATTTAATAGTCTTGGATGTAGTCATCTGATTCTCGGTATCGGAAGCCTTTGTGAGTAGTACATGAGGTCGGGTTGATTTGCCTCTTTTGATGTTCCCGTACCAGGTCTAACCGAGCACGTGAAATTTTAGATTTTATCGCAATACGTTTGTTAAGCCTTCGCATGTTTAAGATAATGGCAAGGCACTAAAGTGCAACATGGCCGATGACAGGTGTTTCGTCGTCGATTATTCATCTCATACAAAGCTTTATCTTCTCGCAAGGGAAGAAATATACGCACTGGTAGTTAGTATGTTGGCTGATGTTTAGATAGTAAATATAGAACACTGCAAAGAAAGAAGACGTAAATCAATTTACACTGAAATTATTTGTAATGATGGCTCGTGCGGATGCTACGGTTTGTGATATTGTTGCTTGAAAAGCTAACTACTAGCCAGTGACATGAATAAAACTATTTTTGTTTCTGTACAACAAGATGCAGTCAAGCAATATCGACGCACCCGAATGATTCGATCGATAAAATTACATGTGTAAGAGAAAGCCGATTCGTGGATGTGGTTATTCTCGGAAAAATTTGTTAAAAAAGTGTTGTTCTCTGGGGGACTTTGGACTAATTTGGTTAGATCTACTTGGCATATAGTCGTCCTAAAATTCTGTCATGTATTAAAGGAATGTCTTGATATGGGGATAACTGATCAGGCTTTAGATTAGACGCTAGTCATGTCTCTTTTCGGAATTCCGGATTAGTTATTGGTGAAAGTCTGCTTTGCATAAAACTGGTTTTCGCGTGACGAGATCACTATCGATGGATCCATGTGAATTTTTCTATTCAATCACAAGATTTCAACCCTGGTTCCACATGGACGATATGATTGGTGTTTATTTGAGGCTATACACATTTGGGATGTCTCCGAAGCGTACAAAGAAAATAAAGAACCTGCATTTGAAAATGTTAGTTGCAATCACATAGTCAGAAGTGTCTTGAGACAGCATATGAATGTTTTACATGAGGGCTGGTATTACTTTTATCATAAAGACAGGGATTAGATTATGAAAAAAATTGGCCAACATTCCATTTATGTCTGTAACTTTGATTAAATTATTAGACGCATGATTAAACCGCATGATATCCGTTATTAAGTCGATGGCCGTTCCATCATCCGTCGCACAATCATAAACGCAGTCACACTTATCTAGTAAACAAAAACTCTCACTAGTGCGGCATTATTGGTTCTGACATACGCCCTTAGATAATGAAGAGTATATTGTTGGTTACTATTGTCCGCTTCCCCTCTATAGATTATGTTCCGTCTACTCATAACCAGAAATTATACAAAGTGGGGTACAGCTGTTTGTATCGCTTCAAGCTTGTTTCGCAATTGTTACTCTTGTACTCAAATATGATACAATTGCAAGCATTATATTACTCCGCACAGCAGGATCACACAGCCACATTTTTTGCACGTTGTTGCTGAGATGCTATTTACCAGGCGGTTACCGTATTTTTGCTATAATGAGATTTTGTTGCACTCTCTATCGACTATTGTCACATCATTAAGGCTTTGATCGAGTTCTTCTCTCTCTAAGCTGATGGTTGGGACAAAGTTACGGCTCCTAATAAAGTTTTGACAATCGATATACTAGGTTGGCTAGTTAAAGACAAGATATCTTTGTAACAAAGATAGCACGACAAGTTTCTTATGTTTCTCGCACATTCAAAACAGTTTATTTCGACAACATATACGTTTACAATATAATAATTGCAATAATTATGTATCTAAATTATTGTGATCCTCGAAAGATAATCTGACTTTCTACTTTCGTATTAACCAGCCTTCATTATCTTCTATATCAAGCGAATTCCTTTCAATGTGATTCTGCCTTACTTGGCATGTCACTAATTGAAGAACTTTAAATTAAGTTTTGCATGCTCACGCCATAATTTACTTGGAATTTTGCGTTCCTTTCCATAATTTACTTGGCATGCCATAATAAATACTAGGTAGATCGTCGCAACTGTGCTAAAATTAGTCCAGTACCATTTTCCGGACTAATCTACTTAAATCTTCAATAGTTTTCAGATTTAGTTTCATGTTACCATGTGTTATTCACGATGCTCCGAACACTTTTTTATTTTCCCGTAACAACACGGTTCATTCTATCTTTGGGTTAGTTCTTTCCGATGTCTCTACACGGGCTTTCATAATACACGTATTACAAGTTAGCTGAGAAATATTCTTTGTTTAATTTATTCCTTACCCTGCTGTATCCGAGTTTGGGGTTTGTCTCAGTTCAGGACTCAGTCCAGAACTCAGTTGTCTCAGTCCAGAGCTGAGACAGGTCTCCAACTGAGGTACAACAAGGTTGATATATTTATTTTCCTTCTTTGAAAGCATACAAGTTTTTGGGTTGTATAGCAATAGTGTGTGCAAATGACTGAAATTATTGATTTATAAGTCGTTGATACTGTGTTCTACAATGTTACAAAGTTAATGTACTTATTAGATTTATAACACGAAGACATTGTTGAAGGGTAAAGGCTTACATTATAAATTTCAAAAATAATAAAGTTTTCTTGAAACTTATGCCAGTTCAAAATGGACATATGAACTGACTTATACACTAGCCGAAAATAAGTTGTGCGGTTTTTTTTATTAAATTGTACAAAACAAAATGACCAATTTGCATAGAGAGAACAATTAATTCTAGAATAATAATTTGCCCATTTCTGGTTTAATGTGTATGAAAGACCAGGAGTTTACTTACTTTTAGTGCTTTAAGTAATCTTACTTTATTGTAAAGTCCACGAGGATTCAGTTATTCTTGTTTACTCTAGTATATATTGCTACATAAACCGCGCATTTTAACGAAATAAGTAAGAAATATTCACTGATTATACAATAAACTAATAATATATTCGATTACAAATATACTGCTGGCAGGTGTCTTGTTAGACACTATAATAAATGTAAATAGATGTAATGAGAACAAATGAAAGACCGGAATGTAGATAGTTAAATAAGTTGATGGATGACTCAGTATCTTTGAATAAAAGACAAAACCGACGAGAGAAGAATTAACTAGAAGAATTTAACCGTAACGTCATCAACGGTGCGTAATTATTTGTACATTTTCTCTTTATTATAGTAATGCTTGATATGTATTGGTATTTATCCTTAGAATTGCAATTATCATCATCCGATCACAAAATGATAGACGGGTGCAAAATATGATTGATTAAAAGAATAACGTAATCATTACGTAAGAATTTGAACAAAAAGAATAGTTTACTGCATTCTTAATGCGGACTGTGCGCGTAAACTGTTCATAATTCATATCACATTGTCACAATCGAATAATTTGTGTATTTCATGTTTAATATTTTTCTTCTTTTCGCATCAAATACTACTTATTAATTGACCGTAAATTAGCATTATTGATGTCGACGTTTTATATTATACTTTGTCAATGTTACATTTGATACTCTGACGTGCAGCTTTTTGTTCACAAGTTTTTATTGATTGTTTTCTGGACGTGGCATATTATAACTAACTACCAATTCTTTTTAAGAAAGATTATGAAAAGAAAAATGTGAAAAAATTGTAGAAATCTATCACAATTATTATGGCCAAGATGGGATATCATAGCATTATTGCAATATACGCTTATTCGCATAGCGATAGACCAACAAAATTGTACAATTACTTTGTCACATGATAAAGGTCAGCATACTAGTAAAACATATGAAATACCGTGGACTCACCCCAAGTGCATTATCTCTTAAGTGCAAGAAATACTCTGGTATGAGACCACCAGATTCACTCTATTTAATTTTTTTTGTATGTAAAAAGTGCTTCATAAGTGTCACAATTCAACACAGCCAATCAAATTATTAATCATGTCCATTCAAGTCTGCTCATATCGGGTGAGGCATTCATAACATCGACAATCACTTCGTAGACGTTATATTTCGACGGCAGCCGTTTCGCCGACAGATCATTTCATCGACAATCATTAATTGACAATCATTCATATCATTTCATCGACGATCATTTCACCGACAGTCAGTTGATTTCATTTGCCCGTTTACGAACTTTTTCATTGAATTGAAACAGTTGCCTTTTAAATAGATCTGTCCCTGATTAACTGTCACCTTGAAGTTTTACTTAATTTCGAGCCAACCTGCATCAGTCAATTCAGTATGCATTGATCCACTATAATACTTTCTTGTTTTAATCTCTTGAAGATAGAGTCTTTTCTATTACTATCAATAATTCAATAGTCTCCATTTCAACATTGGGACGTTTAAAGATTCTAAAATGAAATTTGGAGTAAGATAGTTTGAAGGAGAGGAACAGCTGGACTGTAAACAAAGAGATTATGAATGATTGCCGGTGAAATGGTTGTCGATAAAATGATTGTCGGTGAATGAAATGATTGTCGATGATTGTCGATAAATGATCCATGGAATATAATGTCTACATAGTGCGGACCCTAATCAATTACTAATACTCTTTAAATGAAGACGTCTACTAAACTACCAGATCTACATTATTTTTTCACTATATTTTGCAAAAAGGCAAGATATGACAGCACAGTTTCCAAAATCAATAGCAGGGAGAACTTTGCAAGTGACGTCATTTCATTTTAGTGGTTGATAAAGTCTGTACAGGTGAAACCTGTTCAACCCGGCGGCCCTGTTTTGCTGTTTTTTGGTCGGTTTATCCAGATATCGGTTCGGGCAAACGTTTAGCTAAAGAAAATTCTAATTAATAAAAATTTGGTATAGTCGTTGGGCAGCCGGTTAAACCCGAGACCGGTTTGATCGGCACCGTTTCACCTGTAGTATTAAGTATCTGATATTGCGTTTGGCGTCTGATACATAAGAGTCATTTACTGTTTTTGCAGTGTCAGCCTTATTTTCTTTTTGGGGTGTCATTTGATGGATTACAATATTAAATTTACATACTGTATAGTATTTTATTTGCAAGCTTATGCAAATAGTCCATGTGAATTCAAAATTACTGGTTTCCCTAAATGGCTAATGGCAGGCATTGGCATCGACTCTCAACATGCAATTAAGGAGAGTCCATTGACTTCTTAGAAGAGCCAATAAGAAAACTTCACTTACGTGATCAATATTAAACAATCGATTGAGGTCATATTTATATTTTCTGGGACAAAACTGTAGAATTTTCAGTTTACGTCTAATGACGTTTGTTCTGACGATAATCTTATTGTAATAAATTAGGCTTTAAATGTTAATTCTCCTATTAGCGGGATACAAAAATTGTAAATAAATTGCAATTTTATTAACATAGACATGCACGCACTTTCAAAATTTTCTATTTCAACGGCCAAGTTAAAGTTAGATAGATTACTATAAACTATCGGCGAAGAAACTGTTGATTCTCAATAATAATATTTGCCTTGTACTGCCTTCGCCGTTTCTTTTATTCTATTGATAGGCTAATAATAAATTCATTTGTATTATTAAGCACATTTAAT